CCTTTACGATCAAAATGATCTCTAGATCCCTAATAGTCCATTATATAGTCAAAATTCCATGAAAGTAAAGTTTTCTTCATGGATGACTACTACCGAGAGCTCATATCTAAGTTTTGAGTTATATCTCTATAACAAGATCCATTAAAGTAATTTTTAAACTCCACAAAGACTCCTCTTGCTCTAATTTAAAGCTCTAATTTCAAATCTACATATGATTACCTTAGATCAAATGGTGGCTTGATTTAGTCTAATAGTAAGTCTGAGGGATTATTTCAATGAGAAAATGATGTTTGAGTTAGTTTTATGATTCAATAAAACTTTAGAAAGCTTTAGATGGAAAAATCAAGTTGTTTTTTTTTTTTGTAGAATTTAGAATTTCCCGGTTCATCTGAGTAAAATCAAGTTGTTTTTTTTGGTAGAATTTAGAATTTCCCGGTTCATCTGAGTAAAATTAGTATGTTTGTCTACGTAAAATTAGTGTGGGAAATGGACATGAGAAGACTTGGGATTGACAAGGAAGATGGTTAAGGGATTCAGGCAAAGGATTGAGATTGATTTAATTAAATTTTGTAGGGAGTTCAATCACTTTTGACAACCATGAAATGGAGAGTTCGATGAGGTATTTATAGGCTATGCATAGGCTAGGGGAGGGCTTAGTCTAAGTTGGAAAGAGATTGAGCACCAACTATTTGTGGCAAGCTGATGTTGCATGGTCAAATCTTTCCTCCAATAAGAGGAAGCCATGTTGATTGTCAATTTTGTCGTGCGACCAAAAGAGGAGTGTAGCTAGTGCTTGGAGGTTTAGATAGTTTCCAATGGAAGGAATATGTCTTGCTTGGACCGAGCTTTAGTGAAATTTGAGTAAGCTTGAGTTGGTGAGCCAAAATGAGTGTGCCACATGGACAGGGGGCCAAGTGGAGGGGCTTGGGTGAGTATAATTTGCCCATGAAAGGCTTGTCTTTAGCTTGGTTTGGGTTGGCTTGGATTTGGCTTGGTTAGGCTTGAATGTGGTGAGCCAAAGTGAGCCTAAGTGAGCTAAGCTTAAGTGATCTTGTGTGAAAGTGGCTTGATTTGGGCTAAGCTTGTGTGGGAGGTCAACCAATAAATAGATGACACATGGAAGGGCTTGTTGTGTGGAGGTTGTGAGGACTTAGAGATGGGTTTGGTGTAACTTTAGGTTAGGCCAGTATTAGGTAGCTTTGGAGTTAGATTTAGATGAGCAGTGGAGGAGTAGTTTTGAGTGGGTTTTGGTTAAGGTTTGAATTTCAAGGTAAGGAGAAAATTAATTGTTTTTTAGGCAAAATTATTATGGTTTTAAAATGAATTATTGTATTAAATTAATAAGTTATGGATTTAGGTTTTATTTTATTGAGTTTAAGTTTGATTTGTTTTTATTTGTTTTATTTATGATTTCATTTGTTCATGAATTTTATTTTTTTTATATTTAAATTTTATATTTGAATTTATACTTAATAGGTTCTTTTTATTTCAATTGATTTTAATTTCAATTATATTCAACATGCTTTTATAAATGAATTTTATCATGTTTTGAAATGAATTTTAATTTTTATGAGTTTGATGTTTCATGAGTTATAATTTCATTGATATAAGAATTTTATGTTTGAACTTAAACTTATAGATCTAGTTTTTAATTTGGTTATTATTCTTTTCATTATTATTATATTTTTAATTTTTATTTTACTCATCTTTAATTTTATTTAGGAAAAACTTAATTGAAGCTCAAGATGAACATTAAGGTCCCCTTTGAGGCGGCGGCGTTGCTCCATCACGCTGAAAGAAAAGCGGAGAAACAAAAAAAAATGGCGTTTGAATGGAGTTAGGATGAGCTTCGCTTTCACTGCAAAGTCGTAACTGGCAAAATTCTGAACGTGACGAGGCCTTGGCAGTCGGATCCACTTTCCACGTTAGGCAAGTAAAAGTTACCATTTTTTCCTCCTCGCAGTTTCTCTCGCTGCCTCCATGAAGTCCATCTCGCTACCTCCATCTCCATCGATGGTAGTTTTTGGCTCGTCCAATGGCAGAGACATGACGAGACTTCTTTTTTGTCTTTTACTTAAAAACAATGTCAGTTTTTTTAGTATTCAAATAAAAAATTCTTTTTTAAAAGAACGCTTTTATACTGTTGTTTACTATAAAGTTATGTTTAAAAGAGTTTCTTTGAACGTTGAAGGGGTCTCAAAAGAGGTCTAAATCAAATGTGCTCTTTTTAAACTAAAGAAAGTTAATTAGGAAACTTAGAAAGAGATTAGGAAGGATCCAAAGAGGACCAAGTCAAAGACCTATGACTCTCAGGTCAAAAGGTAGCTTAAAGGTATATTCAAACACATGGGTCTTCAAATTAAGCTTCAATCAACTCAGAAAAATGTCAAGGATTACAATTAAGTACATGAAACTTAAAGGAGTGAAGATTTGGTTTTCAATTCTAGTTTAGTATTTCAACCACTCACTAGTCCTCTAGAAAAGCCTCTAAGGAAAGCTTAAGGCTAGACCTTTGAGAGAGGAAGAGAATGATAGTCTTCATAAAAAATGAGGTCATCATATGGCTTTAGCACTAATGTATTAAAAGACTAATTGAGGATGTCACATTGATCATGATACCAACCCACATAGTAAAACTTAAAAAAATATTTGGAGATACTCAGCTCAAAACTTGATGTCAACACAAATAATAGAGAATGACATTATTTGGATCTCAGATTGACACTCCTAATGCCTTTCCAAATAAGATAAATAGTCTATATCTTACAGATAGAGAGAATTTATCAAGCCGAATGTATGCTTAAACATAAGAAGAATTGAATTAAAGAAAGGCTAGGTTTTTAGAGGTTAATAAAAGTTTGATCATGAGATAATATTTGTACAACTTTTATTTTAACATATATAATCATGTTAAAGAATCATGAAGTCCCGCATGAGAGCTATTAAAATCATTTTAAAAAGTCCCCATTTAGATATGAGAATACTTGAGAGCAAATAATATGTAAGTTTAGGGGAATCAAAGTGAATCAATTTTGTGAAATTTTTCATCATAAATTTCATGATTTAATTTTATATTATGATGATTTTATACTTATGGAACGTGTTTATGCTATGTTTTGTAGATTATAAATGTCGAGCACGTGTCAGAAAGTTGAAATATGAAGTTGTGCAAAATAAGGGGCCAACATATTTATGTCTACCCTTTGAAGACGCCAGAGCCCTAGAAAAGAAGCATTTGAAAGATAGAGAATGTAGAATAATTAAGCCAACTTCAATGTAGATACGCTTTCTTGGCATTGTACCTACAATGTGGTCTGCCATACCTATGCCTATTCCGCTTAAGCATAATTTTGGAAAGTATTTAGAGGTTGTTCATGCTACAACTATTTAAAGAGATCAAAGGCAATTCTTGTTGTCTAGAGGTTATCTCTTTTCAGAGTTCTAAGAGAGTCTTGTTCTTGTCCTAGGGTTTTCTCCATTAGCCCTCTTATAGAGAAGATTCTTGAGCATTTTCTTTGATAATTTGAGAGACTTGTAAGAGAGAGATTATATTTATTCTACGCGAGAGATTGTCGTAGAGTTGAATTATACGGGGAGAAATCCATTGTATTGCAAGGAATGACTGGCTTAGTTGTAAGTTTTATGTACTTTCGTATATTGTACCTTTGATATTCTCAATAAAACTTTTTTTTTTTGTGTTTTTTCACTTCATGCATTATAGTTAAATTCACGTTCAAGCTTCTATGATGTAAAACTTGCGATAATTTTCATTATTTCTCCCATGTGTTTTTCCCCAAAATATTTTTTGTGCTATGAATTATACTTGTAGATGTACTAATCTTTTGATCGTCGTTTACTTCTGATTTGATCAATTAGAGTGTTAAAACCTCTTGTAATCTAAAACTTCTAATCATTGCTCTGAAAAACAAGTAGGTTAACTCACAATAACCTAGGGGAAACTATATAATGTTATTAAAAAAATTGCGACCTAGATAGGGACTAGAGAATTCCTGAGAAACAGTGCATGGTTAAGTCCCCTTAAATGTAAAAAAGTTTCTAACGCTTCTTATGACTTAGACATAGCATAAGGAGAAGTTATCTCTAGTTGTCAACAACCACATTGGAAAATCAAAGGAAACACATCAAGGAATCACTACACCAATGTTACGAAATCATGAGCCTTGTCACCTCTTAAAAATCTCAAGAATTTTTTGTGTTAATTTTTTTTGTTTTTGCATTAGAATTTTATAACATTTTACTTTTTGCAAACGTGAATCTTCAAATTGAACTAAGTGATGTAGATTGGTAGACCAAAACATGTTAGAAAAGTTAGCAAGTTTCATTGTGAGATCAATACGCAGACTCAAATTTCATATATTATGTAATCAACACATATACTTGTGTAGTTGACTGATTGCTTTGCAGCATTTTCAGACATCAATCAACTACCTCCTTTGTGTAGATTAGGTTTCATGACAATCTGTGATGACGAAACTATGAGAAATTTGATTGGTTGCATCATCATTCCCCCATCAATATACTTTTAAGCTCAAAGTGACAAATTTTTATAAATATAAAAATTCAATCGAATTTCACAATACAAAATCGTAAATTGCTACTACTATATAGTGAGTAATTAACGCTCTAATGACTTGCCTTAATTGAAAGTGCTCTGCTTTTATACAGAGAGAGAATTAACTATAAGGACTTGCACCTATGAGAAATATTGAACTTCAGATAATAAAATCCTAACAAAAAGAGAGCAAAATCTCTAGACAATATCTTATATACAATTTCAACTGCAACTTGATTACATTGAAGATTTTCATGGCTATGAGTTATTGTAGATCTTGAGTTGTGTGATATCTCCCATTCCTCCACAACCGCCGGCTATTAGACCGTCACTCTATAACCCCATTATATATTGCATTATTTCAGAACATAAATTCATGACAAATTAAAAAAAAAAACATAGAATTAAAGAAACACAGTTGAAAACATTCATTAAAAATCCAATATTCATTCAGCAAGTGATAAAATCACCTTAGGCATTTAATCCAGTATTATACTAAGTTCCACTTATGAGACATATTCTCCATCACCTTCATATATTAAAATAGAAGCCAAAAACCAGATTTTTAACCCTCATACATAAAAAGGTCCCATTTTTAAGTTCTTCAACAGACTTCTTCCTACAGCATATCACACACTGTAACTCAAAGGCAATGTGCAGGCCCTCACCTCCACTTCCTCTATGGGCAGCCTCTCCTCTCTGAACGGACACTGAGCCGCTCCTATCCCCTCATTCTTGAATGCATCGCACGGCGCCGGCGTCACGCCGCTCGCCACGCCCTCCACATTCTCGCAAACCCACGCCGCCTTCTTCGCCTTCCTCACCTCCACCGTCACGTTCGACATACAGATCCCCTTGAATGGCGCCCTCTCTATCCCTTCCAGTCTCCCTGCGGTCGTCACATTTTCAGCCACGACATGGCTGTAGTTTATGCCTTCCACATCTGGAATCGCATCGGGATTGTATTTCCCATCAGGATGGGAGTTGTAGTTGCCAGTCATCCAGAAGGCCCACTTCATCGTGTTGAGAGTCATGCGGCGGACGAATACGTCCCTGACGAAACCGCCGCGGCCGACGGCGGGTTTGGTTCGCACGCACGCCGGACTCGGTGTCGACGGCGGTTATGTCCTCGGCGCGAACATCCTGGATGCCGCCTGACATCTCGCTCCCCAGCGCAATGGTTGCGCTGGTCGGGGAGACGCAGGTGAGGCGGCGGATGATGATGTGCTCGCTGGGTCGACCGACAGCGATGCCGTACTCATCCCATCCGCTCTTGATGGCCACGCAGTCGTCGCCGGACACGATGTAGGAATCTTCGATTCGGACCTGCGAGCAGGAATCTGGTAGCAGGGGAGAGATTTATACAGCGAAAATGGAGGAATGGGGTTTATGGGAGGGGGAAACAGAAGAGAGGAGCACCTGGATTGATGCCATCAGTGTTTGGAGAATTGACTGGAGCAGAGATTGTTATGCCTTTCACTATGATGTTGCTGCAAATTGTTGTGATGGAGAACAGAGATGAGGAAATAGGAGGAAGGAACTGACAGGGAATGTGAAAATTTTCATCTTTTTGAAGAAATCAAACCTGCTATAAACTGGATGGATGTTCCAGGATGGAGAGTTGAGGAAGACGAGATTTGATATAAAGATCTGATCAGAGTGTTGGAGTTCAACAAGGTAGCCCCGGGTGTACTTGAGCTGCTTGTGATGGAACTTCGCCCACCAGGAACTTCCCTGGCCATCAATGGTTCCGTTGTCACCTGAAAAAAAGGCATTCTTTTTGTGATGATTGAAGAGAAAAAGATTCAGACTTTACACAGTTTTTGTCCAAAGCTTCCAACTTTGTTCGACAGGCTGAAGAAGACAAAGCGCAAATAAAAGGGGGATGTTGATGACAAAAGGTGAATAGGAACTCAAATTACCGGTGATAATTACATCAGTGAGGTTGGATCCCATAATGAAGCTGGTGAATCTTCCACCAGGAGCATCTCTTCCGCGGCCGTAGGAGGGCAATGGATCAATGATCGGCCATTCATTTATATCCTGCACAAATAATCGATTCTCAAGCTTAATCGTTCATGTAATAAGATGAACATGGTGAAATAGCAAAAAAGTTGGATTTTGATGACATTGCACAATTTGTCCCAAGCTTAACATTTATCAAATCTTGAATGATAGAGATAAATTGATTCATACGCGATTTAATAAAAGCACAATCTTGTCTATGGATCAACTATAATCTTTGCTTATAATAGGGTTTATTGAAGTGGCTTATTATGTACAAAAATCTCAAACTCTAGAAGCAAGTTTTTGGCAATAGTTTCCTTTGACCCTTTTGCCAAGGCCCCATGTTTCGAAGAAACAAACAATTTTGCTCATTGTTTTCTCTTCTTCACTTGTGATTTCAAACATCTTAACACGCCAATGAGTGCCCTCACAAGTCTCCACTAAAGTAGGACACCATGCATTCTAATTATTTACATCCTAAATCACTTTGGGTCACCGTACTTCTTAATTTTAAATTTCATGATCATCATATTCCCAACAAATCGTAACTCCAATAATAATTGATAGAAAAAGAGTATGGTTCTCTTTCTGCTATGAAACTTAAAAAATTTAGCATAAATTATGACGAACCATCGTGTAGTTAGCCTAAATGTTAGCATGACAAATCACCAAATATCTCGAACAAAAATAATAATATTTTCTAAATGAATTGTCATTGTACTACGAAAGCATCAACCTTAATCTAGTGGGACTTGAGTGTGCATCCATGCTTCTTCAACTTTTGATGCACTTCTATGAACACCATTTATTAAATTTTTATCATAGCATATAGTGGCTTATTTTCTATAGTCTAAATAGTCTAAAACATTAGCATTAGATTCTATGATTAAAAAAAAATCTGTAAAATTCAAAACCTTTTTAGATGTTACTTGAGCCATTTAGGCATTTCTCAAACAAAAATATACATAATATGTTGAAAAAGCTTAATTTCTATCTCACCTAAAGGTTGACCCTACCGTAACTTTAGATGGGGCCCACCCTTTTGATGTTACGGACCAAGTCAAACCCAATTAGATTTGAAATAAACTAAGTAGAAAATACTTTGTTGCTCATTTCAAAATTCAAAATAAGCTTCCAAGATCATTAAATGCATAACATAAGATATACACACTTCCCCCCATCCCAATATATATATATATATATATA